TCTCAACTGTTCTTCCACCGGCTGAATATTTTCAGGATTCACTATCGGGATGTTGTCATTTACTCGACTGCTTCTCCGCTGCTCGTACTCTTGAGATAACTCGAGATCGTAAGTGAACAGATTCACACGACGAGTTTGCTTCCAGGCCTCAGCAACCCCTTTACCTTTACCCTTATACTGATCTCCTTTGAATGCAAATCTGACCCTACCAGTCCCATGTGGCTGGAATGAACTGCCTTGACCCATACTGTCTAGAAACTAGTAGCGGTGCATACCCAACATAACCCCATATACCTGGTAAAGGAACCCAATCTCGTACTCCACATCGGTAAAGTATAGCCGAAGAGACATTCCACGAAGCTCGCCATAAAATATCACCGTCTCTGATATCCTTGAAGATGACCATCCATTTTTCTTCGGTGAAGCCCCCAGGCCATTCTATAGAAAGAAAATCCTTCAAATGCGAAAACCCCTCTAGAAACACTCGTCTTGGTACTCTTTCAACATGTTTGAAATGACTCAGAATCCACACTAGCAGCAAAGACGCACATCCTAAAAAGCGTCATTCTCCCTCGCGCCTACAAGAACTCAAAGACCGGAACTTCTCAGCTAAAATGGCTGGAACAGGATCCACTTGCTTGTCTAATCTTTCAGACAGGTCAACGATTGATACGTCTACATATCCTAGTACCTTTGGAAAAATAACGAGCCCATAAATCCCTAAAGCAAACAAGTCAAGCTTCTTTCTCTTATCAGGGTGATGATCAATTACTTCTTTCAAAGCAGCCTAAGAGATACACTCACTGTCTCCCTTCTTCTCAATGTTTCTGATTACCTAATCTTCACTCATTTCGGTCATCAATAATAATTTCTTCTTAAACGAAGGAGTGACTGGCAACTTCGTATATATTCTATCTATCTGGGAGCTTGGACAACGGACCAAAGCTTGATACTCATATATCGTTGGTGTTAGATCCACTGTACCAAATGTGAAACAGCTATAAGCCGGTTCCAGAACTGTGCCAATGCTCTAAACAGATTTCGGTCAATAGGAACATCCAGAAGATAAGGAATATCGCCGTACAAATGATAAAACATCTCCTTATCGACTAATGTCCATCTTCCCCATATCTCCTTTAGCTCACTTAGATCATTCTGACGCACGTTGATATGAGTATAACCAAATAACTCTGACATGTATCCAGGCATCACGATGTCCCCATTGGTCAGTTGGGACTGTTCCGACCACCTCAGAACATCGACATTGTCTTCAACCTCTTTCTGAACCGTTCGTTCCATATTACTGGCCTTCTATATGGACATTGATCCCAAATCAACACTATGTAATGGATAGTGCAATGCAAAACAGAAAAGAAATAAAGCAATACACAAAAGATCAGTTAGTAAACATAAAACAATTAATCGGGATAATAATTTGTTCAAGAATCCTACCTACATGCTGGCTACCCAATCATGCTTTATCAGATCTTACCCAACATGATATTTACCCTCATGCTTTGTTATTCACAAAAATAAATCATAACCGTATGATATCTAATTTGCATGCTTATTCAAAAAATAAACCTAACCGCATGATATCTAGTTCGCATGCTTATTCAAAAAATAAACCTAACCGCATGATATCTAGTTTGCATGCATTTATTCGAAAAACGAAAATAAATAACTCAAAAAAATGCTTTTCCTTGTGTACCCTCCTCACGGGATTCTTAAGGTTCGGGTTTGGTTCAACCTAAGTTCAGGCTCTACGTTCACTATATGCCAGGGTTAGGTTTAAAGTAATAGGTTCTTGAATGTCCTTGCCGATGTCCCTTGGGCTACCAAACCCTCAATCCTGGCCACACGGCTTTAGGGGATCGAGTTCAATTTCGAGGAACACACCTCCCTATGTCCATGCGGAATGATTACCATCACGAGGACCATAAGGCGTGAGCTCCAGGAGCGATCCACTATCCCATGCAAGGTGAAAACCACACAGGGCATAGTCTCTCACTCCTACTTAATTAGGACGAGCGGGTTTTAGCTCATGTCATGAAAATGCAACTGTGCAGTGTGTGAGGAAAAGCGAAAAAGCACAATAAAAACACTCAAAATTTCCTAAATTCATACGATTAATCTGAAATCATTAGCAAATAAATTAGTACAAATATTTAATTGTTAATCGAATTAAATTTAAAAAAATCACAATACAAACAAACTTATTAAAACCAACAGAGAGATCAAAAACCAATTAAAACGAATTTGTAATTTTCAATTGCAAAGACAATTAATTAATCGACTATCGGCCTGACTCTCTAAAAAAAGTCCCCAGTGGAGTCGCCAAGCTGTCGAAACGATTTTTTCTTTTAAGGGTGAGATTTTAAAAACCACATTAATTCTTAATTATCTCTTTTTAATTTAAAAACAAATGTGATTTAAAAGACCTCTCGTTTCGAAAAATATTGAATTTCCTTTACGATCGAAAAATACGGTTCGAAGAGTCGCCACCAATCTTTGATTAGGGTGTGATTGGGCACCCAAAAATGTTTTCTATTTTAAATAAAAATTAATTTTAATTAAAACAACAAATTAAGGTCTGCGTTACCAAAATCCGAGTTCGGGAGTCGGTTACGTGTAGGGAAGGATTAGCACCCCCACAACGCCCAAATTAGTACCTAGTCGATTAATTACATACTTGCATGAACTTTACAAATTCGAACTTAATTGATTTTGATCCTATAAAACAAAGACGTAAATTTAAAACATTCAAAAGCACAATAAATTAAATTAAAATTACCAATCGTTTTAAAAGATAAAGAATGTTCGATTATTACAATATCGAGACCCGATCTTAAAGATATACAACCTTTTCTCGATAAATTTAAATAACGAACATTTCCTTTTCTCGTCTCCCAATTTTAGGTGACGAATCAATTTTTTGGTTTCACTTTCGGATACACTTTTAATTTAAAATCGTCAAAAACGACCCTCTAATCAACTAAGACAGGCCACTCGAAATAATTTTAAATTAAAAGGGTATTACCCTTAGTCCGATTATGTAATAAGTCGAGTTATGCACGTGAGGCTATCATACAAATTATGCAAAAAGTGGATGTCATGCCAAAATTAATTAAACAAAATTAAAATATTATGCAACGTGACATACAAAATTATATACTATATTTTAATTAAAAATCATAATTATGCATATTAACATATTATGTACAAATGACTCAAATAAAAACAAAAAACATGTTAACTATAAATTAAAAAAAATGTATATTTACATGTTAAAATAATGACTAAATTGAAATATATGTAAAATTAAACATACAAATCAAAATTGAACCAGAGTTAAATAAAACACACATAAATAAAGGGATTTAAACATGAATAATCTAATGAAATTACAACTAAATTACAACTGGAAAAATAACGAAATCAAGACGAACACAAAAGGTTAAATTCAAAAGCATTCTTAAGGTGACTAAAGTAAAAATATGCTAACCTTATAAGGACCAAATAACAGGTTATATCCTAAAGTCATAGTGACTAAAAAATAATTAACCCAAATGTCTAACTATGAATCTTAACTAAAATATCTAAGCTAACTCTCACTGACCAAATGCCTAAGTAAATCACGTGCTCAAGCTCTCTACCCTCCATCTCTACTTCTCTCCCTTCCTTATCGATAGAAACCAGAGAATTACAAAACTCTCTCGTCTGCTAGCATATCACGGCCACGGTAATGACCAAAACCTCTACCGAAACGAAGCAACCATCGCAGCCCTCTATCGTTCACAGTCTCCCAATGACAGAAAGAAACCTTACCCGACGAAGAAGAAAGGTAATTTCCATTTGGGTTTTCATTTCTATGGACAAATTCTTAACTGCCTTTTTCTAATTTATTTAATATTTTCTGTTTTAATCTCTGATTGGATTTGTAACTCTAGCCCCAGTCCCTATCTCTAGCAATCGAATCCCACCAAGACTACTGTCGCACAACTAAAGTAATTCTCTAATTCCTTTCTCTTCTTACTTTCTAGGTTTCGAAAGAAGAATTACAAAACTCATACATGAATGAACATTTCAAGGTAAAGAAGAAACTTGCAGCCTATGCTTCAATTATTGTACAACTTAGATTATACCTGCTTATTAATATCATTATTTATTAAAACAACAGTGCAATTTATCATTCATCAATGCAAACAAAAGAATTGTGTACCGTCATGCAGTCTGGTTTGTTTCCCTGCCAACCTCTTTGACAAATTATATGAAAAACCTCCATTTATATTAAATGAATTTATCTACTTTTCATCAGACTTAACTGTTCATCACATTTCATGTATTTGTCCAAATATGGAACTTAAATTTGAGATGAAAACCGAGGATTAAAGTTGAAATAAAGAGATGTTCTTCTTCAATGGCAAGGCTAACCGGAGGATCCATTTTACTTTTAAAAAATAAGAGTGGATTCAAATAACTATCTTTTAATTCCTAATTATTGAAAATAGGATACATACACACACACAATAGATATTAAACATTAAACAAAACACACACCATCAAAATAAATATGTTGGTACAAACCAGTTTCTTAAAAATAAATATTATAGACTAAAATTTATAGTCTACGTCAAATAATTTTTCAATATAGAGAGTTAAAATATACTTGCACACTGTAAAATTTTATATTTTATATTTTTTTAGATAATTGGATTCATTAAATTTAATATTTGAGATAAAATTCCAAACATTTAAATTTAAAGATATTCATTTTTTTTTTTTTGCAAAAATCTCCTCATCATCCTAATTGCCCACTCCTACGAAAAGGGGAAACTGACACACAAGGCTTTCTTTTATTGATTCCACCGTGTACGATAAAAGATGAGAGAAAAGTTGAATCACAATCCAATATTAAAAATATTTAGCACTCAATCTTTGTCATAGCTCAGCAATTACTTGGTATTTAGTTTAGGCTGTTCTACTTTAAGATCATAAGTGTAAAATTGTGATTAGAAAGTAAATGTAATGCACATATTATATACTACGACATGCGCATCTGTTCCATCCAATGGCCATCACAGGGGCTAAAAAATTTGATGGCATCAGACCACCAGACTGCACCCACTGCTCCATGCTTCAAATATTCATACATTATACATATTATATATATAGATTTATATAAAGAAAAAGGGAAGAAAGATGGATATACATACATATATAGCTAAGCGTGAAAATGAGGCTCAACCATGGGTGGTGGAGCCGGTGTCTAGGGGAAAAGATGAAACGACATGCAAAAGAACCAGCAGCGGCAGCAATTGTAGATAAATGAATTGCCGGGGTCGGGTTGGGGCAGCAGCAGAGGGTCTGGAGGGAGGAGCCCTACCGGCCACGGCAGGAGCAACTGCACGTTCACCAGGGGTGCTCTGCTGCTCATTGGTCGGAAGTGGATTTACTGGTGTCCCGTCTGGCGAAAGGGGCATCCTTTTACTAACGGCTAAATCTTGACCTGAATATGAAATTTTGAGATTTCAGAATCACTTTATTTTTTTTTTATGTTTTGCTAAAAACAAAAATACCAACACAATGAAACCTTATCATTTTCATAATGCAGATCGCAACAAGTGAGCTATTGATACAAGTTGCATGGATTGATTAAGTTCCCTTTCGATTAATGAAGGAACTTCTAATTTTCAAGCCTAGCACGTACATACGTAAGCAAAGACTTAAGAACTTACAATTTGAGGTTGACCAACCTAACTTCATATTTTCCCTATCAAACACCATCCGGTATCCAGTCATGAAATTCTCTGCAGAAATACATTTAAGAGAATAGTAAAAAAAAAAAGGAACAATGCATGAATGGTGCAGACAACTATGCATGTACAAAAGCACATAAGCAGAAACAGAATCAGAGGAAATATAAGATGAACATGTTTTGCATTAAGGAAATACAGTAGCATACGTCCAATTGTCCCAACATCCCCTCCATTGGCTGTATCGCTAAGCAGAATCCAGAGACTCCCTGCATGGAGATCGCTAAGAGTGAAGATTGAGAAACATCAAAAACTTTGTGGTGATGGACTGCCAGACAATTTTGGGTAATATAGACATAGGCACTCATGCTTGTAAAATGTGGTATTTTGTTGAGTTGTTAATCATATGTTAGTGTTCTTTAAACCTATATATGATGTATTTTCAACTCCCTTATGGATGCAATTTTCAAATTCAGAGAAGGGAGGTTCATATATGAAATAGTGCAATTTTTCCTTTCAATATTTATCAGAATACTGTATTCTTGTTTGTCATCCTAATTCGTGATCAAAGTTACCAGTCTAAAGGAAAAGCTTTGTAAAAGAAAACCTATAAATCTCCATGTGGTAAAGAAAATAAACACCTGGATACCATAGACCACAAAAACAGGATTAAAGACCACAAAGCTATTGTTTAAAGGGAACATGAGCTTCAAGTGCGGAACCTTGGGCAGCTCCTGCGAACTATTTCACAAAATAAGAAATAAATTAATGTTCATAGCAGAAACACACTCTAGAACCAACATACACAATCAGGAAATGTCTAATGAGTCTCTTAAGTGAGGTAACCTGGACTTGTAGCAATATTTCCATGGATAACCTGTATAACTTGTGATTGTAGCATTGATTCTCCTGTCAAACTATAAGAAATCACATATATCACACATAAATTGATAACATATTTATTCAACGAGTTTATAAGACAAGGACGGTACCTCCTTAGCTATTCTGTCATACACTGCATTGGGAAGGAACGTAAACGACGTTCCACTATCAACCACTGCACTAAATCGTGTTTGTTTGAGACAAGAATTACCAAAACAACAAGACTCCACCCCAACAATGTAGGTCTCACTGAATAAATACATAGGTTGAATCAAAATACAGAGGAGGAAGCTCTAAAATCTTTGAGAATTAAGAAAAGAGTGACAATTAAGTTTGAAAAAGAAAACTACATAAAAGCTTATAGTAATAATCCATACTATTTCCCATCAGAAGGCAAGAAATGAGTAGATTGTTGAGTGGGAGGTCCCTTATCCCCAAAATAAATTCTACCAGAATCCTCCTCATCAAAACACATTGAGAAAGAGTTGCAGATCAACCCAGCTTTTGCAAGGACACTTGGAACAGAAGCTTCTCCAGGCCCTAAACCCATCAAACCATCAGGAGCAACCCCATCCAAATAACCACCACTCTGCTTCATGCCACATCTGCATTGAATAAAAGAGAGCAGAAATAATTCCTGGTTAGACATACATCCATTCCGTGCAACGCTAACGAAATCAGTAAATGAATCAAATCAAGAAACTATTGTAGCCAGTAACTATCAGAAAATCACCCTATAATGACAGAGACCTGCACTGAAGTGTTCACTGTATTATCACCAATAGATGCAAGATGTAATATATCCTCAACAAGCAATCCAGAACTTGAAGTATTTTCTGTGTAGTAATCAATAGTGTAAGGGCATTGCTGCTTCGAACTTTTGCAGTTTGGACTTGATTCACATAACTGATGGCTGCATGCAATGTGCCTGCTAGAGCTTGAACCAGATGGCCTATACTCACTCAGATCTCTATCCTGCATAATAAATGCCCCATATATGACGGAGCACCTGCCAATCAATCATTGGAAAAAAGTGCTAAACATGCTATCTGGCCTTACCATAGACTTCACATGCCATTAAAATAAGAAAACCAATATTTAGGCTTGACTCTAGCCAAGCAACCCCTACCCCTATTTCCCCATGTGACTTGGTGTGCAAATAAATTACCTTCAATGATAAATTTAAATAATCATAAACCTAATACATGAATATCTGCAGGCAGAATTACCAATGAGAGAGATTTGAATGATTATATATGTAACAAGGCAGACGACATTACTCACAGCATCATAGGAATAAAATCAAGCATAGATATATAGACCAACTCTTCAAAAGTTAAGATGGAAAGTAGGGCAATTTTGTTAAAAATAGATAACTATTTTCAAGTATGACACCATACTGTTGAACAGTAAAAGTTAATTATAATTCAGATTTTATACATATTTTATGTAATGAACTCCATTTGATGTAAGGAGAAGAGTATCTAAGAAGGTAAAACTTTTGCCACTTTTTATTCCATGTGTTATCATCTGATTTCCACCCCCCAACAAAGCAATGAATAAGTTTGTTCCATTATTGAAACTAAAGAGTAGTCTCGTTGAAGAATCCATGCTACATAGTTACCAAACAAGCATTATGAACAACAATTCAAATATGCCAGAAAAAGCACAAATTTTAGAAGTAAAAATGGCCATTAAAAAATAATGCACCCAGATTGCTTTCACAACATAATCATAGAAAGCTGGCCTACCAGACTACTATAGTAACTGGCAGACAGTGGAGCACATTGAACACAGTCACATGGAACCCAAAGTAGATCGCTCCCCACATCCAATGCAACCAGAAACGAAACATTTGGTGTCCCTATATCAATCCAGGTGTAGTGTAACCTAAATTTCCAAAACTGAATACATTAAATAATCAAATAAACAGCAAAGAATAAACGCTCAGTTAATATGTTACAAAGATTTGTGATATAAAGTTAGAAACAGCAAACAATATGTCAAATTCTCCACTTGTTTTTAAATTACGGATAGGGATTTCATACGTCAAAGTTCTCCATTTTCTAGTAATTTACATCTTTCAGTTACTGGATTTAGAAAGAAAAAAAGCATAACTTATTCGACTTCTATCGCATATCTCAATTGGTATTGGAACATGCTATAGCATGCAACCTAAGAGCATGTTATAAGTATATTTCACACTAATTGCGATATTTTGAAGCCCAGCAAGTTGTATTGTACGTAAGCAACCATTGTCCATTAAAAACAAAATAAAAGCAGACCACAAAAAGTGGAAGTATTTCTTCAAAGTAAGTCAAACCCTTGGAAGAATTAAAGAGATTTTTTTTTTTTTTTGAAAAATAAATGGAAACATAAGCAAATTCAGCTAAATTATCAGTCAAATAGCGGTCAACAACATAATTCAAAATAAGATACTGTAAACTTTGTTTCTTGTACCATCCGAAGTCATTCCCGAACGACGTAGTTTACTCCCTTGAGAAGGGAAAACGAGATTGTACTTGCTGCCAAGCTTCATCTTCTGCCGCTGGAAATCGCTGTTCACGAGCAACTCATAGTACTCCAAATTCTTCCTCTCCGGCCACCGAACTCCACCCTCGTTCCTGGGAACCCTAAGCAACCTCGCCTCATCGGAAAACCTATGAATGAGCCTCGAAGAGTAAGTAACACCGGCCGTCACATATGAGGCGGCAAACGACAGCAAAACCAGAAGCAAAGATCGCCTCGTCTCCATAAACCAAGATCCAAGTTTTTCAATGGCAATGCGTAAGTAGAATCAAACCCCAAAGGATTTGTCTATTTCTTTTAGGGGATTTTTAAAGAAGAAGAAGAAGAAGGGTGCGCAATGCGCGTTGGGGGGGGAGGGATTAGAGGAGAGAGTAAAGAGAGTGGAAGAGCGTTGCTGTCGTTGTTGTTGTTGGGATAATTTTTGGATCCGAGTAATAAATGTTTAAAAATAATTAAAAGTGGGGGTTTATATTTAATTAATGGTTGGAGGCAAAGATTATGATTAAGATTAATTAATCGAGGGGTGGGCCCCGTTGAGTTGACGTGTGATAAAAACAGGGTTCGGTTGGGGTCGTTTTCGCTTCCTGGGGTTTCGAGAGGGGGAGACGGCGTGCTGTTTGATGTTTGCTGCCTGCCTGCCGTTTAGCTTTAGTTGACTACCTTTTCCTCTTGTTTTCAATACGTTTTCCGGTGCTGCCATTTTTTTAAACAAATATTATTTCAGATTTGGGAAATATTTAATTATTCTTTGGAGAATTGTACGAGTGAGATTTTATATTTTTTGTTTTTATTTTTATTTTGATTATTGATTAAAAAAGAGTTTTAGTTTATTGATTGTTAATTCTTATTGATCCATTAATAAATGTCTGACTTGATATTTATGGAGGATGAGAATAATGAACAGGAAAAAATATAAGAAACAAATTAATTATTTATGTATTTTTTAATTGCTAACTCAGACTTCTATTAATAGATTAATATGAGTTAACGAAAGATTAAAATTGAATGAACCGATAATATAAGAGATCTAAACCATTTTTTTAAATAGTGACCAAAATCGGATGGATGAAATATATAAGGGATCACCTGTGTGGTATACCCTTATTCTTTCTAAATAATGACATGTTAACGGGAGTTTTTTGGTCAAACTTCACTTATATGGGCCGGGCTCTGCTTTTAGTACTGGACGCTTAACTCTTCTCTGTCTTTGTTTTCAAGTTTTTTTATATATATTTATGAAATTTTATGATAATGGAAATTAAATATAGTATATTATAATGTTATTTACTTGAGAAATTAAATTAAATAAATATGCATATTAATTAAATTGAAATACGGAGAATAAATTGTAAAAATTGAGTAATACAAGGAATACGTGTGTTACTTGACTTTATTAAAGTACAAGTGATTGAGTATTTCTATTGATTGTTTGACACCGTAGGCTCAGTTAAATCAACATGCAGAGTTTTTCGACCGGTCCCTTTAAAAGTAGATTTGACTTTATGTCTACCATTTTTTGACGAGAAACCTACTTTGAAAGGGGTCGGTCGAAAAACTCTGTATGTTGATTTAACTGAGCCTACAGTGCCAAACAATCAGTAGAAATACTCACTCACTTGTACTTTAATAAAGTCAAGTAACACATGTATTCCTTGTATTACTCAATTTGAAAATGAATGAGATAGATGGGAGAGTCATGCACATCCGAAGATAACTCTTATTGTGAAAGGTTTAGAAGCCTAATGCAGTCACCGAAATCATATGTATCTACGAACGTTTCTTAAAATTGAATGTAATTGTCAATAATTTTAAGTAGGGTTATTTATAATTAGGTAGTTATAGTTTATTTTCAAATAGTATCGACTAATTGACAATGAATATCCATACCCTTATCGGTACTCAAACTCGAGACTTATAAAGAGAATAATAAGTCTCTTAACCATTAAAGCCGTTTGATTCATACAAAGTATTTATAATTTCAAATACTTGAAATAATGTATATCAGGTTTTTTAGGTAGTAGAAAAGGTGATTCGTGTCTAAACTTGTAAAGTCAGATACTCACAAATCAACATCCGAAATAAACAAGTCTATTCATAGGATACTTGGGATAAATTTGTATGTGTTTTTTTATAAGTTATACAATTTAAAAGAACTCGTATAGACAAACATAAGGTAAAAACTTAAAATTTCAAGATACATAATCCAAACTTAACAAAATTTAGAAATCTAAACTGTATAATCATATAATTTGGGTCCCTAACTTTTTTTTATGCAATTAAATACTTAATATTTTTATGTTAATTAGGTGGTTGATTTATACATATAATTTTAAGATCATTTAGTTAGAAGACTAATGTTACACATTAAACAAACCTTTATTTTTAAGACAAACACATTAAACAAGCCTAAAATTTTAAAAGGTATACGAAATAGTCTACGGACTGTAGTGTAATTTTAACTACAAAATTATTTGAAAGCCCGTCATTCTCATTGAAGCGACTGACCATGATGATTGAGGAAGGTGAAATCCATTAATAAAACAATACGTGCTCTGTTAGCTTTCATTTTCATCCCTAAAGGTAGCATTTAGATTTTTAATTCCGTCCACGTTTTCATGAAATGTCATTTCTGTCACTTCATCAGCATCATGCGGCATTTAATACAGCAAATGAGTTGACAAGCAACTTTTTTTTTCCTTTTAAATTTTCCTTCAAATTGACAACCACACCAAATCGAACACAGAATTACAAAGCAAAACAGCTTTGCATAAGAAAATCAGATTACAAAAGAATACATTTCACGAATGACTATTTAAAGACTGACACCGAAAATCTCTAGTAGAATATTTACACTGGAGTGATAAATAAGCCAAATACAAGGAAAAATGATAGAAGCAAAGGGTTCCCTACTTGTTCATTATAATTATCGCCCTCACCCTCAAAATTTTCAATTTGCATAAAAATATAATTAGTTTTGACATTGTTTTAATTGTTAGACCACTGGAATTCAATTTCCAAATTCCGTGATGGCCCGGTTTTACTTTCCGGCAATAAAGTATACTCGCCTGAAACGGCTCCGAGCATTACAACCCGATCAATTTGGATAGTAACTTTTCCAAAGGAACTCTGTTGACATAAAAACGATGGAAAGCAAAACTAAAATGAGTAGAAAATTCCCTTCAAAACATGTAATAAACAAGAGAATGAGTCTTTATGATATGCTTACCTTCCCCATTTTGCTCTTATTCTTGCAAGATATGTGCAACTTCTGGCCTTTTGGAGGACTCTCAAAAGTCCATGCAAAACTTTCATCCCATTCGGGATTAGGGCCGGTTGATACAACCTAACAAGGACAAATAAGGTAGGATGGCATGAAATTACAGAAGCTCAATAGAGATTCACGACACGTCAATGTACTTCAAAACCAAGAAAGTTTGAAGATCTTATAACTAGAAAAAGTCCCTTTTTTGTTTTTAATCTTAGCTCTTACGAGTTGGTTCAAAAATTTCAAACCAAACATGAGCAGAATCGTGTATTCTATATACTGGGAGCTGTTTACAGAGCTTTGCTTCACTATATCCCCAGTCATTTTTGAGGAAACTAATTTTGAGGACTGAAGGAGCTGTAGCTCAAAAACTGTAAGAATATAAGGCTACCCGGAATCTCATGTTACCATTCATAACTAAATAATTAGGTGATAATTGAAATTTTCAGTTTCCCCATGTCAAATCACAATTCGCTAAACAGAACGGAGAAGGATATACCTTGGTTTGCCGAGGTGGAGTGTTGCCGAGTGTAAGTTTGCAAAAAACACTAGGGTTCCCTACTGACTGCTTCATATTGTTGCCACGCTTGATTATCACCACCAATGTCCCAGGCAAGCATTGCAACAGAAATTCTGCCTTCTCCTGAAATCTAGGTGGGCCAGATTGGATTAAGTATTGCAGCAATGGGATTGCATCTGCAGCAGCAACTGACTGAGCTCTCGACACTTCCGCTGGACAAGCAGACCAGGCATGCCTGAGTAGAAAAAGTGCACCCAAAGCAGCTTCTTGAGTAGCCTCGGAACCTGTTTTGAGCGATGTAACCAAATGTGGAATGCTGAGTGTTGCAGGCTCAGTTGCTCTCAAACGTGGAAAGTTGCTAAATAAAGAATTTAGAGCTTTTAGATACTCCTCATTCACAGCTCCAGTGGCCCATAAGTCCTTCTCAATAGCAGCTGCAAGATATTGATAGATGTTACTGCAATTATGTCATCAGTAAATCACACAACAAGAAGTACCTCAATCAATGATGGAGCTGTCAGAGTTACGAACACAGCATAAATGGAACCAAGACATTAACAAGGGCAAGAATAACAAAAGAGGCTCTTTTAAAATGTTAGAATCAGTTGGTTTGTGAATCATACTTCTAAAAAAGGATATGCAATATAACCATATAGAAACATGGCAACTGAAACTTACATAAACAGCAGACATACTTTTAAGTGACTTCTCATATTAACCATTCACATTAACTAAAGTCTGATAGAGATTTGGAACTTACCGGTTATAGCCCTGACCGTTTCACTAGAAGCATACTCTTGAATGGTATGGTTAGAAAATAGAAGTTTAACAAACATTGCAGCCTGAACAGATGTCTCTGGATCACTTGAACCTATTAGATCCAATACAACCTGAACCCCACCAGCCTCAGCAACAGCTCTCTTATTTGATCGACTGTGCATTACAAGATTTTGCAAAGCACATATAGCTATCACTTTCATTTCATCTGTTGGTTGGTCTTCAAGCACATTAACAAGAGCACGACATGCTGAAACTGCATCAGCACTTCGAGTGAGTGCCTCATTCTGGAAAAGATCACCAAGAGCCAGTGTTGTCAGTAACCTTGCCTGCTGAGCTTGGGTTTGTGGATCCAAGAGATATTGGGATAGTGGTACAATTGCAGTTCTAATAGCTGTTGTTTCTCTGATCTTCACATTATTGAGTAATACTTCCAGCAATCTTGCAGCAGTTTCTTCACACTGATGAGATCTGAGAAGTTCTAAGAGAGCCTCTATGGCACCACTTTCAGCCATTGCTTCAGCACTGGTTCCGTCATCACTTTCCAATACCAGAAGAGTATTCAGTGCACCAATCACAGTGCCATCCAAGCCAGAACGGAGCAACCTTACCAAAACAGCAACAGGAACTTCCAAATAAAATTCAGAACTGAATTGCAAGATGCTGGCTAAAACAGAAG